CTAAAAACTCAAACTCTGTGGGATGGCACCCAGGGTCTTGCACAGTATGTCACCAGCCTGCTTTTGTACATTATCTTACTTGTCTGAGTTCTATGCTGCTTTTACATTGAGCTCATTTCCTTACCTGAACCCAGGCACTTTCTCACTTCAACACTTTGATTCACATATTTCTTGCTCATTAGAATGCCTTCACCCATGTCTCCACCTATCAAAATCCTTAACACTCTTAAAGGGTCGGCTCCAAAGCCTGCTCCCCCATTGAACTCACTTGGATAAATCTTGTCACATATGGTATATCTATCACTCACTCACTTTATCCTTTGAGCCTCTCTAGAATTCTCTGTATGTGCCTCTTACGGGTGTTAATCACATACTGCCTTGTATTGTGCTATGAGTATACATGTACATTTCCCATGTTATATTGAAATCTCTTTGTAAATGGGGAACAGATCTTATTTATTTTTTTGTCTTATTTACTGAATCATGCAGAACCTTGCATATAGGACTATGTGTAATGACTAGATGTTCAACACATAATTTATTGAATGACTGACTGAATAAATTTTGTTCTTTTGTTGTTCAGTTTATTCATTCTTTTTTTAAAGTAGCATCTTCAAAGCAGATTCAGTTCATATACAGAATATCCCATAGTGTTCTTTGTATGGACCATTGCTCTCACCCAGAGTATTTCTTAGCTTTTTTTATGTTAAAGGGTGAAATGAAAGGTTAAGAGTTAGAAGTGCATTTGATCTTTTCCTGACCCTCTCCTGACTTTTGTGTGACTTCAAGCATGTCACTTGAACCTTTCAGTGACCTCAACTGTAAAATGGAACTTCCTGGTGTCACAGAAAGATTGTGAAGAGCAGCAAATCACAGTCCTTGTCTAAACAGAATCACCTGCAGGGCTCTGACGCCTGCATAGAATAATGAGGGGAATTTAATTTCCCAAGCAAGTGATCAGTTGGGCCCACACTTTGAATGTCTGTGGGAGCAATTATAGAACAGTCCTTGAAAAATTTGTTACTTTTCTCTTTCTATACTTCTCAATGTAATTTTTTAGACAAAAAATACCCCCATGTTGTAATGTTTACCTTTTCAGACTTCAGAGGTTGGAAAACATCCCCTTAGATATTTTAGAAAGCATGTTGAATTTTGGAAAAAATAGAAGTACCTTGAATTTTTAATTTATACCACTGAATTTAGAAAAATTTCTGCTTCAAAGAGAATATTTTGAAAATGATGCTGAACATAGGTTCATGGTAACTATTTTATAATAATTGTAGGTAACTCATGAAATGTGTTTCTAACTAGCTTTTTGCGGGGGAGTATTGTAGGTAAACAAGACAGTTGCAAACAAGTAGAGCAGAAAACAAATAAAAATATTATGAGTCATCATGCAGATAGAACCATTTTATACCTATTCTGTAAAATCTTTCAAAGAGTAGACCTTAATAGGTCTCCTAGTTTTTTTATTTCCTAATTGGGAAAAATCCATCTAACAGGCTATTTCTTAGCATTGTGTGTAGCATGTGCTGATTATCATTCTTTGACGCTTTGCGTTTCTGCTGCTTTTAAACTAGCATTTAAATGGACCATTTGATTAATCATTTGTATACTGACTGTAATCCTCCCACATTTCCTTTCTGAGTTGTACATACTGTAAAAGACAATTATGTCGCCACAGATTAAATAAGTGAATTAAAACAGAATAGTGGCTTAATTTGACCTGTGATTTTGCTCTCCTTCCCTTTAGTGGAGCGTGTGCCACTCCAGCAAATAAATGAAGTCATCCATGACAGCTTGTGATGAATTGCCGTATTTATACTGTATATTTTAATAGCCTCACACTAATTTAAATTGAGCACAGAGTAAATTATAATTCAGTCACTTGACTGCTTATATTTAACTTGACAGCCTATCCTTATTTGTCCTGGAGGGGTAGTGGAGAGCAGTGGAAACACACTCGGGTGTTTTAGTTTCTCACTTAACCCTTTCTCCATGAAATGCTTCATGTTCAAGTTCTCTCCAGTATGTAAAACTTAACCCTTCCTAAGGAGAAAAGAAAATAATAGTGAAGACTCGGGAGTCGATACTTTCCTTGTACCTCAGAAAGAAAATTCGTTTTTGCCATGCTCTTTTCCATTGCTTTCACATAAGGAATTGGACTTAAGTTTAGCAGCTTAAAAGCTCTCTCACAGGAATGCCCAGGGGAAGGAGAATTAACCTTCCACCTAGAGCACCAAGTCTCCCAGAAAATAGAAGAGCATTTCAGTATACTTATTTTAAGGTGGATTTTACTTTCCCTCTCAAGGCCCCAGAAATTACTATATTCACTTTTGCACCATTATAGCAATGGCCAGTATTCTGGACTATAGCAAATACCAAGAATGATGAAGACCTGTTAGAATGCAATGGATTGGCTCCACAAATACGGTATTATTTGCTGCATTTTAGGTCAGTGTGGCACTTCTATTTTGGCATTTATGTCTTTGGTTTTAAATTCCATTTTAGAAATCAAGTAATTTTCTTCCTTCCCATCCAGAAACAGCTTCTTATTTAGAGAACTATGGTTGTAAGAAACACCTTACTTAAATCCCACATCATTTAACCAGTACCACTCTGAGTAAGACTCTGTACTGGGTGCAGGGGAAGTGGGTGGGAGAAAGATGCACAGGACTCAGTGTTTGCCCTTGAGAGGCTTCTAACTTATTCTTTAGGCTTCTGGGTTCTTTTTTGGATATGAGGCATGAATGCTAAGGTGAATGTGATAAGGAGAAATGTTAAGGGACAGAACTAAATGCTGATGGAGGGCTCTGGGGCTGGCTTCATGGACATGGTAGCACATTCAAGCTGGGTCTAAAAGATAGAAAAGGTTTTGTGATTAGTGACTGGGGCAGAGTGCGGAAGCACGCCCCAGTCAGAGGGAATAACAGGAGCAGAGGCTGGAAGTGGGGGAGAGCACAGGACGTGTAGAGACAGGCAAAAATCTGGTTTCACGTGAGAATTGGGTTTGTGGTGGGGTGTAGTGGGAGAAGGAGTTAGAGTAACAAGTTGGAGCTAGATTGTGGAAGAATCCTTTGATGTCACGGACGAGTTTTTTTTGTTTTTGTTTTTGTTTCTTTATGCTAGGCCACGGACCAATTAAAGTTCATGATACAGGGCATGATATATTTACTGCCAGTAATTTGGTGTTAATTGCAAGGTGTCTGCTAGCCATGTGGAATCATGTCATTTCTAGATCAGGGGCTTAGAGATGCAGTATGTGTCAGTAGTCATACTAAGCACTGATAAATGGCATTTTTGAAACCTTAAATAAGTGGTTCTTAACCTTACTGTGGGTTAGAAATCATCTGCGGGGTTTCAAAAAGATGAGAAAATATGGGCCCAATCCCAGTGATTCTGTTTCCGTTATTCTGGGATAAAGGTCTGTTCATCAAGGTTTGTGTAAATGCTCCTATGTATTACACGCAAGTACCTTTATATAAAGGTAATCATAATGGGAAGCCAGGGGGTGTCGAGAACCACTGCTTTAAGGTAAATAATAACTTCATTCCCTTTAGCAAAGTTTTTTAGGGTGAGAGATTCCCTGTATTTGACATAGTGGTGTGAATAGCTCTAATATTTTATGACATATAATTGAAATTCCACCAGATGAATTAATTTTGTTGCTAAGTTTTATACAGGAACAAAAATGTAAGTGAATATTGTTGCCAAATGACTGCTGAGTGGAAGAAATATCTGAATGTTTCTTGGCAGTATTACACTTGCAATCTTGTTTAGTGAGAGCTTTTATAAATAACCCTAAAGCAAACTTTTGCTAGAAACTGGCTGTGCCTTTTTTCCTCACTTTCCCCTTCCCCAAATGAATGTCAGTGCTATAAAATGTGTGTTTTAGAATTGTTCTCTTCTTTCCTTGCTTGGTCAGCAGTTTGCAGTTCATAATTTGTATCTTTTTTCTTCAGTATAATTATATATATTCTTTAGTTGTAATACGAAATGTAGTTCATTATTGGGGGGAGTATGATTACACTGTCAAGGTAATCCTGAATGTTAAATTTTTATCTAGAAATGTCTAGCATCAGAAACTCTGCCACAAATCTTCAAAACTGTCTTCCAACTATTTTATCCTTATCACTCTTTTTAAAGTAAAAACAATTTACCTTGAAATGGCTTCACTGAAATGCTGAGCAAAATTTGAACACTTGATGATCTTTCTTAAAAAATAAGTGCTTGAAATAGAGTTTATTCTAGGTTATGTTTATAAATAAACTATTTTACATTACTATGTTAGGAATCTGACTCAGTGGTTGCTATTTGAAGGAAAACCATAAACCATCAGGACATCTTGAAAATCTATGTTCCTGGGAGTCCAGGGGACGCCTGACATACCAGGCTGCATGGCTTCTCAGAACCGTGGTGTTCTCCTCTAAAAGGAGGGAATTAGGTGAAATAATTTCTGAAGTTCATTCAAGCTCCAACATTTTGTAACAGTATTAGCAAAGAAATATTACCCAAATGGAAGAGCATGAAAGACATGTTTTTAAAACCCCTTCCTTCTCTCATAGCTAAAAATCCTACTTTGAATGTCATTTTTACTCATCAACCTCTCTGCTTTTATCGCCTAGCGTCTTGAATTACAAGACAATTCTTTTTTAATGGTTTCAGGGTCACTCCTGTCTTCCTCTTCTGAAAATAACCAGTGTGGCCAAAATAGGGGGTATAAATTAAGGGTGTTATAACTTAACTGACTTTTAAAGCCATTAATACTGACCTTTGAGACCTGGTTTTTTCTTGGTCCCATCAATCACTTCTGTACCACCTCCCCCAATACAAAGGGTTAGACAGATGTGGATACAGTTTGTATGACTGGGGGGAAGTTTCGAGAGGAGAAAGGGGGAATTAAAAGAAGAAACCTTATTTAATTTTTATATTGCATAGTAAGTATAGCTATATCTAATTTTAAGGCAAATAATGTGTGAATGTTTCTTTTCTATATTTAGGTCATACTACTAGATATCACACTGGAACTTCAGAAGCAAATTATGTCTGAATTGGAAATTCTTTACAAGGTAATTTTTTCTCAGTCATTTCTCCTTATAAAGTATCCCAATGGTATTGGCTTGCAGGTTTTTTGACTATTTTTGTCCTTTTTTTGTTACAGTGTGATTCATCATATATCATAGGGTTTTATGGTGCATTTTTTGTAGAAAACAGGATTTCAATATGTACAGAATTCATGGATGGTGAGTTTTCCCTTTTGTACTTTAAAATGATTTGATAAGAGTGCTTTAAAACCTGGTTCTGATATAGATGTCAAGTAGAACTAAAAATAATTAAAATACACTAATAATTACCTCTTTTATATTCTATCATCTTAGTGTTAGGGGTTCCTGGTGTTAAATATTTGCTGGCTGAGCTATAATTTCAAGAATGTAATTTCATTTACTTTTATTGAAAATTTAAATAGAACAGATTAAGTGCTAGTCTAATCGGTGGTTTGATATTTTATTCTTCCAAACAGTCTGTCTTTACTTGCAAAACAGATGTTCTGTTCTTTTAATGTTTCAATAGCCAAAACAGATTTTCTTTTAAACGAATCTATTAACCCAGTGTCCTGTGTCTTTTAGAAAGAAATCAGTTCTTAATTGCAAGATAAAAAGTTGTTTTTCAACACAGCTGTTTAGCCAAGATGTGTTTAGTTTTCTTTGACTCTAGCCCTTTCCTTTTCATTCATTTCTATTTTGGTCACTCTTTCTCGATCTGAGTATTATGGCAAATGCATATTTCTTGGTACCCTATCAGTGAAATTTTGTCATCATTGAAATTTACCTATTTTACATATTCATGTTTTCCAATGTCTAGCCATTTAAACTCAACATTTTTTTTATACACATACTCATTTTGGGGATACTTCGAAAATGACTAAAGCTCTGCCCCAGAAGACTTTTTAATAAAACAACATTTGTACCTTGATATACTATAATAGTGTGTTATAATATGGTTTTAATTAGTTATAGTAGATGTCAAGAATTAAAAGTCTTAAAACCATATGGGTAGTATGACAATTACTATTCAAGGAGACTA